CCATTCGTACATGCTCGTTTGTGTGTGCTGTATAAAACACATATAACGCACCTAGGCTCTCTCTTTTTGTGTTACTTTGAACGTGTGCAACACGACGGGAACGCGTTTTATGGGACCTACCGCGCATCCCATTATGATGCTTATGCGTAATACTCGATCTTGGTGACTTTTAATATTTTCTTTCTCTTCTTCTTTCATATCCTACCACTGCATTATTAATATACTTTTAGTATATAACTAACTTAATTGTTTTTTTTTTGTTTGAAGTTATACTTCTTTTGGCGCGTTAGGGAACAAATGACGAGAGTGAAGTTAGTCGATAAATATCCCCCTTTAAATTTAGCGCGGACTGATATTATCTATATTCAAGATATTTATTCTAGCATTTCTATATAAACAACACGTGTTTTTAATTATTACATACGGTGGCGATTGATATTAAAATATAACTGTTAATATCTTGAAAAACATTGATATATAGAATATTAATTCATTTTCTGTTAGTGAGAATTTAGCAGACAAATTTTTCAAAATTGATACTGATCCACGTAAAATAACTTAAACAAAAAAATGCGCATCTAGATATGAGAATTTTGAACAGGTTAACAATTTAAAAATTATATTTTCATTACGAATAATTTCTTTTTGAAATTTGTCTCCTGTCTCCTGTCTACTTAATTCACACTCATAATTTTCCATACTTTCTTACATTAACATTGAATACTAAGTGTTTATTATAATGTTTAAAATTTAATTATGTGTCATTTTGTTTTGTAACACGCCAAAGAAGTATAACTACTTACGCGTGTACATAAAATACGTACACACACACACACCTGTGTTTTTATTTTTTAGTAAATCAATTTACTATTCAACTACGACAATAAAGGGTGGATTCTTGTTATTAACAATAAAAAGCTTTCGAGCATTGCATCCATTTTTACGACTTTTTCTCAGTTGCTAAGTCGGAAAGACAAACGGCGTTGTTGTTGTCCAAGAGTACTCGATAAGTCAATTCGCAATGGCAACGCCTATGTATTTCGTCCTTAGCGTGTGCACGCATTGCAGCTTTCTTTAGAACGCGAATCTCGAGCAAGTAGACGAGGAGAGTCTGTGTGTATCTTTCCCACGGTCTCTCTCTCTCTCTTTCTCTCTCTCTTTCTCTCTCTCTTTCTCTCTCTCTATCTACCTATCTATCTACGTCTCACTCTCTGCGACATGAAACGCAAAGAATATATGTTCCAGAGCCCTCTGACACTTATGCCGATTTCCCTGGGAATGAGATCGTTGACTCATGGTCGAGTAGAGTTGTTGGTTTCTTTTTTCTTGACAATGAAATTTAATAGTTTTATATACTATATCATCGTACTATCAATTCATTAGTATATATCCAATATATATATATATATATATATATATGTATTATTATAGTCATATATATGTATTATATAAAGCTGCTGACTACCTGCATTGCATTCCTCGAAATCTCATACTCGCGAGAAAGGAGGGGCGTGGATGAAATGCATGAACAAACAGTGCTATATATTTTCTATAGATATATTAGTGCGGCGTGCTTATATATGCATACATACATATATATCTATATATGTATTCACTCATACCTGAATCGAAGAAAAGTAACGCGTATCTCGAGGATAACGAGAATCGAATCGGCCACCACCCGCACACGCCTTCCTCCCTCCCCTCCCCACTCTCTTCCTCCCTACGTTCTAATGCAGTACGTTACATACGTCGTTACATACTCGTCGTACTTGTGTGTCGCAGTCTTAACTTTTTAGGTCAACAAAACTCGACAAGTCGCAGTTGCAGTTGCAGTTGCAACAAAGTCTCAAAAGAGACACGCGAAAAAAATGAGACCGAGACGCGTTTTCTCTTTAACCCCCCGTCTCCTCCTCCTCCTTCTCCCTCATTATCTTGATCTCTGTGGTTATTATTTATTTTAATTAAAAATAACGTTTTTTCGTATAGACGAATTCAAGAAAAAATAAAAATAATCCAAGGTGCTTACCTCGTTCCACGCGAACCCCATGAGGCGCGCGTTGTCCTTGAGAACACATATAACGAGGATGAAAAAGGACCGCGTTGACGGTGGTGCCGGACATCGGCGTTTTTCACCGACCGAGTCCTACTCCTACGATTCTTTTCTTTTTTTCTTTCCTTTCTTTTCCTTTTTTTTTGTCGTCCCTTTAGTTAGATTTTCTACGTGAAACACAAAATCCCTTTCTTCTATCTCTCTTACGTACGAATCGTTTTATTTAACTTTTTCCCCGAATAAGAAGAAAACAATACGACAAATACTCTACGTATGGGGAAAAAAAAAAGAAAAATGATTTCGATAGGTGTGCGTTGCGTTGTGTGCGCGCACAACGCGATTTGCGCGCGTCTTTATTATATTAGGTAGCTTTATAAAGAAAATGATAAGAAAAAAAAATGGCAATTTGAAAGACGAGATGCGCGCTCGCCTGACGTCCAGGCAAGACTGAAGGGGAGACCGAAGTCCAAGTCGGTGGAACCTCTCTCTTTCTTTTTCTCTTTCTCTTTTTCTCTCTCTCTCTCTCTCTCTCTCTCTCTCTCTTTTCTCTCTCTCTCTTTACCTGTGTAGAAACGCCGATCGTTCCTTCTATTTCGAACGTAATATGTTCGCACGTACCGAGTACGCGTTTGTTACGTTTGCATACAAAATTTATGTACTACTACTATATGTATAATATATATACACACAGAGATACGTTATGTATGTGTGTACGTGCACGCTTACCACTAAATACATATACTTACATAGACTCATATATATATAATAATTCTTGTTTGCCGTTTGTGTCATAGCCTACTCACCTAAACACCCACCGAGTTCTTCTCAAAACCTATCCTCCTGTCCGTCTACCCACATAACTCGTTAAACCACCCACTCGATTTCTATACTCTTCGAGATATCATATTCTCGGATGGCTCTGAGAAAAGAATACTTGCGGAGGGCGCCGAGAAAAACAATAATACACGTCTGCGAGAGTAAATTATTTTTCATTTTCTTTCCGTTTTTTCCACGTATCTCGCGTTATCCCCGATGCATCTGTTGCGTTTACAATATTTCCACGAAGGGGAGAATAATTTTTATAATTGGTAGTATAGCTCGTAAGAGAAGTTGTCCTGTGTCAACTATTGCAACCTTTAAAGGAAGGACACTGGCTAGAGTGTAGGCACAAGTTTATATTCTTTTATCCACGTTGCAAAGTCACCGTGCATTATTATATTCAAATATGCGCACGTTTAATGCCCTTACGTATATGCATCTACTTTAGTACGTACGACCCACGTTTTATCTATACGTATAATATATATGTATATGTAATACAAGTAGATTCTTATGTATATGCATTATCATTGACAACGCAAACAAACGGAAGAAACAAGAAAGACAAAGTTCTAGAAAGATTTCTTCTTTCGCTAGATAATCTAATCTTTGTTTTTATCTTATATTGTTATTCAATCTAATCGATACGCAAAGAGAGAGAGAGAGAGAGAGAGAGAGAGAGAGAGAGAGAGAGAGAGAGAGAGAGAGAGAGAGAGATTATTTTTCAAATTTATCAATCGACACAATTGAAGTTTCTATGCGTATTATTCGTTTACGATATATTCTGTCTAATTTGATGTAATTATAATAACAATTGGAACGTTTATTTTGAAAATGGTGCAAATCCATTTTTGTAGAATACATTAACACGTTGACTGCCGGGACACTTTTTACCTGATTTTTCTACCACGTCTATACTTTTGTTTCTATTATGGGATGCACATATTTTGTTGAAATTTTGTTTACCACTGATAAACGGCGTTGTTTTATTGTGTTTTATCTATTTTTTTATGGCGAGATCACCGGTGACCATAGAGACGTTGTAGATCATTTGATGATTATTTGTTCCTTATAAATACGGATAAGATCGAGGAATTTATAGCTCTTCGAATAACCCTCAACGGATTTTCTGTGGTACTTTATTTAAATTTTTATATTTAATATTTTCTTCGAAATTTTATCTTTCTTTGCAAGAATTAGAAAATGAATAGTACTCGTGTTGTAAATTCAATTGTGTTATAGAAACAAGTAACTCCTAACTAATTTTCCTTGTAATCAAAAAATTGACCTCACGGCAGTTAACGTATTAAATAGATTAGTTAAACAAATTGGTAAAATGTATGGTATCAATTGAAAGGGTGTATGCACGTAATAACGTATTCGAAATGTTGTTTCTTTTCTTTACGGTAAATGCGGCCTTTACTGGGGTCGGGTCGAGACGAGCTCACGGCGAATGAATGTGGAAGATTCTCGTGGAAGGTGTGCAGGGACTTTAGCTTCCTTCTTTATCGCGTGCGTATACACTTCTAATGTCTAACGGTTCCGTTCTAAGAACGAGCAACTTCCTGAGGCACACTCGCTAAGAAAAACGTCGAGATGTAACAATGCTGGTGACCCAACATAAACACGCACACACACACACACACACACACACACACACACACTACTCGCGCGTTCTCTCATCACTTTTTCCTCATTCCGATAAATATTATAAATCGGAATAACTAGGGTTTCCTATGCATCATCCTATGCAACAATAATATAAAATACAATGGTAGTTATTAACGCTAGATTTACCAGACCAGTCAAAATGACTGGGTTCTTGAAATTTCAATTTAAAATTCCTACTTGCATTTAACATTTTCTTTCATGACTTTTGTAGCTATAACTAAAGAATCAGTTTTATGAACTTTATATTATCTTATATATATATATATATATATATATATATATATATATATANATATATATATTTGTTGCTATTGCTAGTTTTACTTGGCTAATCACTATTTTTAAAGACCAGTCATTTTGACTGGTTTTGGTAGAAATAGTATATCTAGGTATATACTATATATATAGATATATCAAAATAGCTGGTAAATCTAGTATTAAATAATAAATAACTCACCGAGGAGTCGTCTTTCTGGGCCGTCTTTCTTTGTTTCCGGGAGTTCTCTGTCTGAAGTAACTTCGAAAGCTTCTCGATCTCGCGACTCTTTCCTCGCATTTCGTCCATCTACGATGAGAAGAAAAGGAGATAAAAAAGGAAAAAAGAGAAAAAGAGAAATGACAAGAATCTGCGCGCGTGCGTGCGTGAATGCGTGCGTGCGTGCGTGCGTGCGTGTGTGAATGCGTGCCTGCGTGCGTGTGTGAATGCTCGAGAAAGGATCGATACTCGCATGGCGAAAGTTGCAAAAAGTAAAATGAAACATTCGATCTCTTTCTCTTTCTGTTGCTCTTACACTTGTAGGTAAGAAATAAAAAAAAAAAAGAAAAAAAAAAAAGAAAAAAAAAAAAGAAAAAAAAAAAAGAAAAAAAAGATGGAGAATCGGTCCCTTTTCGTACCGCTTTCGAGAAGCTCTCACCAAGAGCTGGTGGCCTCCAGGGCCTTGGTCACCTTAGCAACGCGCGAATTTCGAACGCGTATCGTCGCGCCCTATTCATCCGAAATATGTGCACTCACGTGGTAGGAAATAAACCCGGTGTCTGCGTTTATGGGTTCCTCGCGATAACGAGTAAAGCGACTTCCATTAAAGTGAAGTGCCCTCCAAGTAGCAAAGAGTGATCCTTTAGATACAAATGTAAACTTGGTGAGAGCTCCGAATGATTATTCCAATTCAATCGGAAATTCCTAGAATTTTTATTCGTTCCAATGTCTTTTTGCCTTTTTTTCCCTATCATATATATATATTAGGGTGATTCATGAAAATTTTCATTCATTTATTTATATAATATATTAGAAAACGGTAGAAAACACGTTTTTCGCTGAGCAGGCAGGAAAATATTTGAATTTACGGAGAAACAATAATTATAACTTTGTTGAGTTTTTTTATTCGGTGTCCCTTTTAATTGGTACTAATCCCTTCCGCTATGATCATTCGGTACTTGGCCGATTGCCCGGCATTCGATCGAGATGGTATTTACGTCAGCAATGCGGTAGGTATAATTCGAATGTCATTGCGATTTATACAAGTACAATGCGTTCCGTGAACCATAGGCTCATTTGTAAACGTCAGAGATAGAAATAGAAAAATTAACAAAGGGCTCACGACGGGATCATAAGTTCAAATACGTCTATGCATGTAAGATTTACGTAATACCTTGAAAATAAATTCAATGATTATTCGATATTTTATGCTCGATAATAAATACACGTTTACATCAATTTCATATTAAATTATTTTTAACGACGTCATTATTCTTTTTCATTTTTCTTTCATAAGAATAAAATAATAACGTTATATTATAGTTTCCTTTTTTTCTTCGATGCTATTCAGAAAAATATATTTGAAAGTTGGAAAAAATAACTTGTGTCCTTCTTTCAATTATTCTAAGATTACAATATTATCTTATGTTTGTTGAACGATAATAAAATAGATATATCTAGTTAGGTCTAGTTAAATCGAATTAAAACGGAAACTAAATTGAATGAAGGTAGAGCACATAGCATTGAAACGTTATAGTAAACTGATTAAAGTTGGTCGACGTGTAGGCAAGCAAGTAATAGACGAGAGAGTAATTTTATTAAAAAGCTTAGCTGCATTTCCCTTCGTTCATTTATTTTTCCCATCCTTTGTTTTCTCTTTTAGACTCGGAAATTGTTTGTTTACCGCGGGATCAAAACTTATCAAGGAAAATAAAAAAAATGAACGATAATTTTATGCATTGCAATTCGTAACGTGCGCGACACCTTGTACATATATAAGATAAAAATAAGTAAAAGGTACAATTAACTTTCTTATAATATCTAGATAAATTTGCATTAGATATTAAATTTCTCTTTTACAAGTCTATTAAATGAAGAAAAAACGAGGAGTACCGTTGGGACGAAGTAAATTGATCACGAAGCAAAAGCATCGATACAACAGTATATCAAGGGTCTCTCGTTTATTATTACGAGAAGACTAATGAAAAACGTTTTTGATGGTTGGGCTCTTCGCGAGTGCCCATTCACAGAAATAATGCTATACCCACCTATAAATAGCGTGGGAAATATTCGAAGATTTCGTATAATGGCAAAAAGGGAGGCAAAAAATTGGTCGTCCTACTGACAACAAAAATCTTGTCCACCGAGATAACGTGGTTTATCGCGGATGAGAACGGTCAATAATTTTCCAACCGACCGGGACTAGACCTCGAGGGCACAATTTTTTAATAAGCACCCTCGATCGAACGAATTTTCGCATTCCTTGCGAATTCCGTATCGCAGTTCTCGTGAGAGAACTATTATTCCTTCCAGGCTCCTCTTTTATTTCTTTTTTTTTCTGTTCTTTTCCTTCCTCTCTTTCGCATAGATTATACGATTATTCGTAGTGTACCGAAAGTCGTAGTAGGACAAGTCAAAAGAGAGAGAGAGATCGATTATTATCATTGCGAAGGGGTGAGATAATTTACAATGCGAAAGAGAAAATATATATAATAATATTCGTGTGTATTTGTAAACTCACCATTTTAATCGTTTCGCTTCTCAAAGATTTTCGTAATGCGGCGAGTTCGGCCTCGTGATTCTCATGTTGAATCCGTAATTCGGCCGCTCGTGCTTTTTCGGCATCTGTGGCGATCTAAATGAAAAACGAAACTTTTTCATTCCAATTACGAGAGAGATTATTAAGGGTTTATATTACTTTATAATAGAAATAGAATTGTAAAAGAGATTCGAATGCAACACAACGCCTGTTAATTCGTGTAAAAGCGTGACTAGGCAGACTCGTTCTGTGCGAGTATATAGTATGCACGTCTGAATACTACAGAAATAGCTTGACCGTACTTGAGGTCATCTCGGTACGTAAATTACAGCACGGTCAACGTATAATTATCTCGAAATATTTACTATATTTAACGAACATATGATCAATTTTCTATCTTCGTAGAAAAATATAATTAATCACGATGGAATTCGAGTAAATAAATAGATACTATGTATTATAATTTATGAGTAACAGAAATGATTGAAACGTAATGTAACTGTAGGAAAAGGTGTTTTTAGTATGGTAATCGATTAAAAGGAGATATAATATTTATATATATTTAGTAATATTCCACTTACACGTAATTTCGCCTCGAGTTTATCGTTATTCGCGCGTAAAGCGTGAATTTCAGTTTGAAGGCGCCGGACCTCGGCACAAGTCGACCCATCGAGCTTGCAGGGGGCGCCCTTTCCCTGCAAATTCAAACTATCCAACTTGAGCTTTCTTATCGTATTTTCGGATTCGACGAGCCTCTTCTTCATTGCCGATATTTCGCGTTTTCGATTATCTTCCTTTACGAGGTCCACCTTCGATGACGACGACAACGACGACGATAGCAACAGTGACGGCGACGGCGACGTGCAATTCGATTCTGCCGAGCTGCCACGAGACAGTCTGAACAGAGATTGAGACAGAATATAAATGTATGTGTGTGTAAGAGAGAGACTCGTGGAATGAAAAAAAGAACAACCAAAATAAGGATGGAAGTTTGATGCTCGCGTCGCGTCGCTCACAACACTCGCATGATTTTTTCTTTTCCTTTTTCTTTTTCTTTTTCCTTTTTTTATTATACTTTTCTACTTTCCATCAGCATCATTTCTTTTTTATCTCTCCCGCGCGACCTCGTAAACTTTAACGTCTACTTCTACCGTAAGCTCGTTCGCATTTTTTAACTATAGTATCCGATAGTTTTCAATTTTTTGATTTCCATCAGATTGAAAATGAATATCAACTTGGATCATTACTTTAATAATCTTTCGAAATCAAATTTGATATCAAGGATCGTATGATAATTTAATCGATCGTTCTAAACTATAATAATTAAAAAAATATTAACTATAATAAATATTTATATATATATATATATATATAACGTGTCAGAATAAAAATTTAACGTTAAAGTTATCGTAAAATTTGTATATACTCGATTAATAATATCGTTGTTAAGCATTATAAAAATTCAATGAACTTTGATAATTAACACGTTTAATTAAATCCAGAAATAGTATTATGTAATAACTGTAGCGCTGACATTAAAAGCTCGATGAAGAATTAAAGCCCGTATTACTCGGAAAAAACGATAAATGCCATGACATTTGAACAGATTGATCAAGTTCAACTTATAAACCTTACCTGGTCTTCAATTCCGAGATGATAAGTTGATACTTGGTAGCTTCGGTGGCCTTTGCTTCCCTAATGGCCGTTTCGATTTCTCTTTTGACTAACTTCGCGGCCCTTCTTTCCTCGTGCAATTCGGTTCTTGCATTTGCAAGATCCTCTCGCAATCTACGCGCACCTTCCTCGAGCCACTGTATCGTTTTTCTCAGTCTACCAGACTCGTCTTTAACGTTATTATTCGAAAGGACGAGCCTTTTTACAGATGTATCCTGTTCCTGTTTCTTTCTCTTAATGTTTTCTACACAAGTATCGCTTTCGATCCGTCTTTTTTCTTGGCATTCTCTTTCGTCCGGCCTTTTCGACAATCTTTTGCTATAATTACAAATGTATTACGAATCTTATATTTTTTTCTATTAAAATTGAGTCGTTTATTTGGAAAGTGCCGTAAATCCAATCATAGTCATAAAAAAAAACATATTATTTCATAAATAATGTTAATTATGCTAATTGGGATGATAAATTTGACACCTTTAGAAACCAAATAAACATTATTCTACTGTTTTATCTGTTATCTATATTTTTAAATTAACAATCTAACGCAAATACTTCAATATGTCGATTTGAACATAAATGAGCTTACGCCATTTTGAAAATAAACGACTCCATTAATATGTTATCACAAATAATCGTCATATACTTATACCTTTTTCTTTGATTAGAAGAAAAATAATGAAGGTCGCGAGTAACGTCATTATCTTGGCTAAACTTCTTTTTTTTCTCAGGCTTAACCGATTGCGAAATTTGATAAAAATCGACGAGAAGAAAATGATTAGCGTCGTAGTCATTATTATCCCTTTCGTTGCGTCGTAGCGTCTTTTGGGGAATATCCGTGGCCGTTGTAGAAAAATCCAATCGTCTTCGTTTTCTAGTACACTGAACACGCGGATCATTGGCACTTATTATCACGGAAGATTCTTCCCCCCCGTTCGTCGTTGAGTTAGTCGTCGAATTGTTCGGTTTGACGGTGTCTCCCGCGGCGAGGCTCGTCATCGTCGCTGAAAAATTTCATCGACAACGAACATTGTTTACTTTTCATTTTCCACGAAGTCCCAGTGGTACCTCAATTGCAAATGCAACTGCAACTGCAAATGCAACTACAACTGCAACTGCAACTGCAACTGCAACTGCAAATGCAACTGTATTTTTTTTTATTATATATTTTTTTAACTTTTTAACTTTTCAAATAGATGATATTTACTTAGTTTACACCGGTCGTGAACCCTGTAGAAAATTCATCGCATTCTATAAGCCCCAGGAATCAATATAATTTATTGACATTTAAAAGTGACATTATATTTTGTTAATGTCAGGAGCACAAAGGAATCCGTAAGAAAAGAGAGCTTCTTATTTTTACCAATGTAGATAAACAATTAGATAAAAATATAAAAAGGAGACCAAATAGGGTGGTAGGGCGAGGCTAGACGATCATAGGAGGGGTACGTTGAACAATCGAAATATCTCACTCAGAAACTATACGCCGCACACTAATGCATTAAATTGTGGAAAGAAGTTACGATAACGACGATAATATGTTCGTTGGACGCGCAAGAAGAAAAATGAAAAGGTAAAGTAAGTAATAAAAAAAAGTTATTAATTTGAAGCAATAATTGAACCGTCGAATAAATCGAAGTATTGGTGAATTGAAATTTCCGTCTCTTTCTATCTCGAACACGGCAAACTTTTGAAATAGCACTTTGTTATCGTGGAGCATCATTGATCCAGCGGGAACGCCGATTCCCGGTGTCGGTGCTGGTGCCGGTGCCGGTGCCGGTGCGTGGAACACACCAACCAACCAACCAACCAACCTACCTCTTTATTGCACGCTCCGTTCATCGTGGTTTCAAACTGATACTGTCCTACGTATGTACGTGTGAAAACAGAGATAGAGAGAGAGAGAGAGAGAGAGAGAGAGAGAGAGAGAGAGAGAGAGNCCAACCAACCAACCAACCTACCTCTTTATTGCACGCTCCGTTCATCGTGGTTTCAAACTGATACTGTCCTACGTATGTACGTGTGAAAACAGAGAGAGAGAGAGAGAGAGAGAGAGAGAGAGAGAGAGAGAGAAAGAGAGAGACAGAGAGAGAAAGAGAAAGATAGATTATGTAGCTGTGCTATGAATAGCACCACAGTGCTTTGGCCCGCATTGGTCGTGCCCCTTCCGTTCCGTTCCGTTCCGTTCCGTTCTGTTCCAAGTCGCCACGTTTTTTCTCTTCAAGGAAATAATTGTCATATAGTTGTATTGTTCCTATTGTTGATATTTCCTCTTTGCTTAAACGAAGTTGCGCAAAATACTTACCCCCGATTGGACGTATCTATTTATTTATTACATTTTAGTCGAAAAACTATGACAGTATTCTAAGGGAAACTGAGCTTTTGCTCGAGGGGACGAAGATTCGAAAATAGAGAGAATAGATGGGGGGAGGACGGGAGTTCGGTGAGGGTAGGATTCGAAAGTGTGTCTCTCGCACATATGTATTCCGTTTATATGTATACGCTTTCGATAGAATTCGCATAGGCGCGGTATTAAACTCGTTTAGAGAACAGAGAGAAAGTGACTTGTGCGGGCGCAAAGCTTTCCTCCTTACGAATTGCGATATTGACAATGACATCTCAACGAATATTACGAACTAGGAAGAGACAAGCTACAAAATCATAAATGATATTATGAGAAATTGATGAAAGGGTTGAACTTTTCGATGAAAAAATGATGAAAGAAAGAAGCAGCAAGCAGCGCGCACGTTATTCAAAGATGTGTGTGGAATAATCGTAAAGGTAGATCGGATTAACTCGTTGCGTCATCGGCTGGAAACTCGATCGTCCATTCTCCTTCGAACAATTTAACTTTAGGTCGTCTAATTTTCTAATCTTGTGCATTATCAAAACCACGGGATATATCGAGTTTTTGCGTTTTCAACTGGAAAAGTGACGGATGTAATGGGCGTCGTGCAAATTCAATTTTATGCCTGCCAATGAAGAAAAATTCGACTATCTGCCTCTTAATCCCTTGACATACACAAATTAAATGAAATTAAAATAAAAATTAATTCTTCTTCTTCTTTTTATTAGGACTTCGTCCTGTTATAATAACTTTTTTTTCTTTTTTTTTCTTTTAATATTAATTATTAATTTTTAATTAAAGCATTTGACACGAGTCAGACTCGTCATTCTATGTCAAAGGGGTTAAAGAAAAGAACGAAATAATATTTGGGGGGAAAAAAATAAGAATGAGAAAAAAAGAGATTGTTTTATAAGTATTCATCGGTTTCGTAAAGGACTCACCGATTTCATAAGGACGATTTTGCATGATTCGGCAGTTTTGAAGATGGTTTCGTAGGAAAATGTAGGTTTTTCCTGGGTGGGTCCAACGCGTGAGAGACACCGTCACTAACTAAAAGCCTAAACTACACTGGCAGCAAGCACAGAGAAGAGAGTTATATGTAACCGAGCACGACGACCGTTCTCGTCGCTCGGTTTTATCCTCGTCTCTATTTAGCTTCATCTCATCTTTTCCAACCACGATCCACCGTCGTCACGATCATTCTATCTCTGTTGCGTTAGTAAACCTCGACACCCACACGTATACGTATATAAACGTTTTTACGTTTGCAAACACGTAATATTTCGTATGTGTGCACGGACGTGTCATAAAAAAGGTCTCGTCCAAGTGTCTCTTTCTTTCTTTTCTTCCATTTCTATCTACGTGTATCTATCGTGATATATTTAATCGTCAAATTACCTACAGCCAACTTTGCTAAATATTTTTCCTGAGATTTAACTAATTTCTGCACCTAATTATGTTTTTACACGATAGATACGTAATATATTGCATCTATAGAAAAATAGAAGATTGCTTCCAATCCCAAGAAATCAGATAAAGTAACACAACAAACCATGAGTTTTCATATTGGGATTTTAAACATTTTATTTCATAAAGATTACACCATATATCGTACAAAGTAAATTATCATTTGAAAAGGAAAATAAAAACATGCCACTAATTCGTGAACACAAAAATTAGGCAAGATTATACGAGTTTATTCGTTGTTACTATTTGACAATAAACGCATACGTTTGCGTAAGATTACAATACTGATAAATTGAATAAAAAAAAAAGGAGAAAAAATCGGATATAATCATGTTGCAAAAAAATAAACAAAAGTTTCAAATTAACTAACTCGTCCATTAGGGAAAAAATATGAAAAGTATAATAGAAAGAGGTATAATAATTTCTAACAATAGTATCACAAGCGGGACAGAGAGTGAGGGATGGGGTGGTGAGGGAAAAAAGGTAAAGGAAGAAAATAAGAGAGGTGTACTACATAGTATCGGGAGTGCCTAGGGGTTGCGAGTCGAGTAACCTAAGGCACGAGTAGCCGGCGAAGGAGAGTCGCGAATCGTGAGAGGGTGGCTTTCCGTTCGCGTTCATATCGATCGACGCCTGTGCACTAAGCAACAACCCCCCCTTCGCATCCCGCCCCCGCCCCCTCCCCGAGAAGGTTCGAAGCCGAGCGTCGACCGTGTAAAGCCCAGGGAGACAATCTCCTCCGGTTCGCGCGTCCTGCTGCGTTCAACAACTACGTACGTGTGTGTCTGTCTCTCTCTCTCTCTCTCACCCCTAATTCGAGTTAGCAACATCTTAGAAATTATTTTTTTTTTAGGTTTACTAATTACCTAGATATTTGCTTTTAATTCATTTATTAAAGATAACATAAACTGAATTTTCTTTACATTTCGATCAATTCACGAGAAAGACCATTTTCATTGTCCAGTGAAATATATATATGTGTGAGTGTGTGTATATATATATATACATGTATATGCCAGGTGAATATCCGTGAGTGTCTATTTACAGTGTGTTGTATTCGAATGGTGGATATATTGTGTCTTACTCTTTCTTCGTTTATAGGTTTGTATATATGTATATGTATATAGATGATATTGTTGTTCGTTGTTGTTGGAAGTGATTGCAAAATAAGAAAATCTTATAATTTCGATGATGCTTTTTCATTCGGATATTATTCAGACTTGGAACGTTAGTAGTAGGATCAATTGTAGTAACGATACTTATCGTTAGACAATCAAAATCCATTTTGCGTGTTTGATTATTGTTTACGTCCGATTATTAAGGAGTAAATTATTATCGACCAAGGACTGCATCTCGCGAAACAATTTACGGTTATACCCTATCGATAAACCCCTGTGAGATTTATATAATCATTTTTATAAGAGTATCTAAGAAAAATAAGAGGACAGGGTTCGGAAATAGCAAACTAATCGATTTCGAAAAATAGAAAAAGAGAAAAACGCTAACTAACGTCAACTTTAAGTCGAATAGAATTTCTCATTAATAAATTTCATTCTATATTATAATAATTGTATTCATTGACAATTGTATAACTTATCAAATAATTTAAAGACAATAAAATAATGATTGTCTTGGCTCGTCTTCTGCATCTCTATCAAGTCGAATGATAAAAAGTGTATTCTAAAAATAGACACTTCTCAAATGATGTTACAGGGATATTATTTAGGGATCATTTTTCTCTAAAACTATCGAACTATCTAAAGACCTTCGAATATCGACTGTCAGGCGCCCTCCTTCCATCATGATTTTACTGCATGGTGCATAAAAAAGTCGAACGGTACAATGAAATTATCACTGCGACAACTTTTTCCTACGACAAAATATATAAACCCCATTCTCTAACTCTTTATATTCCTGATACACAAAGGTATTCTTCCGTACCATCGGCTGAATCATTCATGCATCAACGACCATGAAAACTAGTAGACTCCTTCGTTCGTCGATCCGAATCGATAGTTCGATTCGAGGAAAAGTTCGTGAACTTTGAAATCTAGCGTGAAAATTTAACGACTTCGTCGTGAAAAGATGATCGAAAATGAAAATATTATTGATTCTATTAAAAAATAAAAAACCTCGAGATTCTTTTCTTTATGGAAATGAAACGCATAAATACTTATTTTAATCGAAATTACCTTTCAGCTGTTTCTTTTTCTTTTTTTTCGTCTTAATATTGAAATATTTTTGTATCCAATTATATCCCGTTATCCTTTTAGCTAGCAACAACATTTATGAAATTGTTAAATGATTGATCAATTCCTTTTTTCTTTTTATTTTTTTGTTTGTTTTATTTTCACAAACAGATTTCACATTTTCTTTTGCACGTTTTTCACGATTTCGATAACTTTCTCTCCTGTGCTTCGCGAATCGTCAATGTTCTCGATACGATAATGACTCTCTTCTTTCGGTTTTCTTTGCTCTTCTATTTTTTTTTCTTTTTTCTTCTAACAAACAGTCGGTATGATTAGATCACGGAATCGAAGAGATTAGATAATGTTTTTTATTCCTTGTCAAAACGTTCAATTGGACTCGAAGGTATGACAACGAAACATTGTTTTTTTTTTTCTATTTCAAGATTACCAACTTAAAAAACTATTTTTTCCTTTATTGCATTTTAGATATCACGATCGGATACACATTCTACATTGTTAAAATATGTGAATTGTGCGAAAGCTAAAATAAGTCACATTATGCATTCGAATCAATTAGCTCTATATCTTGTTTTCCTGTATGCATAATTCAATTCTACTCGTTTGAACGTTTCGCACGAATCGAATTTCGCAAAAGTTTCTTACAATATTTTATATTCGTCAAAGAAATAAAATATTCGATAGAATTAAAAGGAAAAGAAAAAAAAATACAATGAATAAATATATAATATATA